GATAGGTTTACCCCTAGCCATACACAAACTCTTTTAGACTTAATAGTGTGCTAAATCCCAGGCATGCTAAACTTAGTAGTATGCATGCTAAAAAAATAAGCATATTCTCAGTAGGGACTTGATAGTGTGTAAAGTCTAACCACACAAGGGTTTGGTAATGTGCGAAGCTCCAAGAATGCTAGGTTTGGCGCCAGCCACACCTAGACTCGGGCATGCTAGGCATGGTAGTATGCCTTAGCACGCCCATGTGAATGCACATCCTCACTTGAAACGCGTAAAGAATTAATTATCATCCTTTTTTGGCATGTCCAAGTGAATGAAGTAATGCAAGTTTAACAAACATGTCAGACCCAAGACACTTAGACTTAGCAGTTAGTCAAGTCCAAGGTTAACTACAATCTTTCTTTGGGCATACCCAAGGGAATAACCATCTTTCCTTGGCACACCTAAAAGAATAATCATCCTCGTTTGGCATGTTTAGAAGAACAAACAACCTCTTCTAAGCCTAATTTTGAGGAAAAACTTAGCCTCTATAGACTTAACTAAATTTGATGTCTTGGACCCTAATCTTTCTATATCTTTTAGGTGTATAAAAGTCCTTCAAAAATCCATCATATTCTTATACAACATAAATACAAATTTAAGAGATATTTATTCCTTATTAAATGTTATCACGATAATGTTGAGGATTCTAACCAGTGATGTTCTGATAGTTGCCCATTAGAGGCTAAGCACACTAACACAATATTTAATTTGGTTCGGCAGATCATCTACATCTACGACAGAGTTTCATATCATTAAAGATAGAGAAATGATACAATATAAATACATGAAGGAGGAGGATTATATCCACTCAAACTTAACTCCCATCTCTCATTGCTGCATTTACAGCTGCTGCAATGGCAGCAAGACTGCTACCACTACCCTTTTCTCTTTCTTTCTACTCTCTTACACACATTATCACTCTCTCAATTTGCTCTCCAAAATTATACCTCTTTTATAGGCTTCAATGGTAAGACAAGATCCATAAATCATGGCATGATTAGTGGGACAAAAGCCATGAGACATAGCATGAATGGTGGCACTAATTAAGCTTCCACTAAGTGGAAGTAGGGTTTTGCCACACTAATGACAATTTCCTAACAATCACCCCCTTTGCTATTTGATTTATGTGGGCAATTATCCTCTTACTTCTTCGGCACAAGCTTACATCCTGTAGCTTTTCAAGCTTACCATTCTGAGAGCATCTTCAACCAAGTTTATAGGTACTTGCCAAACCTTTCAATCTCCAGAGTCACCAAAGCATACCCTTACTCATACTAAAGGATCACTTCAACTAGATGGTCTCCCACATCATATATGAAGAGTTTAACGCTTGTCTTTGGAACATAACATTCCTCTTCAAGTGTATCATCCATACTCGGTCTGAAATGATTTTTCAAGCCCCACACCAAGGTTTACAACACCTCCTCAAATGAAAATTTTTATTCCCAAGCACAACAATCATTATCTAAGTATCTCAATATGATCACAAGCTCATTACTCTTTTAAAAATCTACTCATCTAGGAGATGTGTCTGCCCTCTGTTTCACCCTAGGAACCATGCTTTACTTCTCTATGAGTCTCTCGCTCTTAGTCCTAAGAGTCTAGATAGTTCTCCACCTTTAACCATAAAGGCAGCCCTTTAAAGGTTGATCCATATTTGTCTTTATACTCTGAGTATTACAATGTCATTATCGAGCTCACCAACTTGATAAGAGTCTACTTGTTCTAGGAACCTGCGCATGCTCTCTGCTCCTACATAGCATTAGTGTCTTAATGCTTCATAAGTCATCCACTTATTGTTTAAAGCAAATGTCTTATAGCTTATTGATCTTTAACATGAGGGTAATATCTATGAAAGTCAATCTTATATTTGTCTCTATACTCATTATAGTTACTTTATTAGTTATCCATCTGTCCACTCATATCTAGTCATCACATTATCTCTAGGGCATTCTAAACTTGGGCTCATATCATGGCCTTCACACCTTCTCTTGAGGTGACTTCATCCGTTATTAGATGATCTAAACTTGGGCTCATATCATGACCCGCACACCTTCACTTTAAGGTGCCTTCGTCTTTTATAGGTGGTCACATCCTCTTTTAGTTAAGATATTTCAAAGTGGCTTCAAGATTCTCTACCACTACATGGACTTGGAAGAGATTAATACCACTAATCACATAGAAAGAGAGAGTTACGATACACTCCTCGCAATCCTCTATCTCGATTTCTATGTTTGGAGCTTATATATCTTTCATCAGCACACTTGACAACTCTACCTATACCAACTCTTTTTAGTGCCTTCGTCTTTCATCATAGGCGGTCGCGCCCTTTCAATTAGATGCTTTTGTAACAGCTCATCTTTCTAGTCTTGCATACATTGGAAATGTCCTCGCTTGTTGCCTTTATCAAAAGCACAAGAGACTTCATGTTGTATAATTTTTTACACAATCTCTGTTTTAAGCTTCATCTAGGAACTTTTCTTCTCCTTGCATCTATTGTCTCATTACACTACCTCTTTGGATCCTACGGGTACTTCTGCACAATCTCCATGTGCTCTCGTGCAATTTCTGTTATCTAGATTTCTTTCTATTCTTTGCTTTTATATTTGACAGCAGCTAATCTTGTCATAACACCTATCCAAGTCAAAATAGGGTGCCGATCTTTATCCTCTTGAGGTATTTCTCTTTCATTATCAAGGTCTTCATTAATTCTCCTCTTGAGAAATCATAGTCACCGAATCTAACTTCTTTTGAAAAATCACCACTCCATCAAATCCTTAAACATACAGAACTCAACTGTTCTTTTATGTTGTCATCCTGATGGTCTTCAATAGTTTCATTACAAACTATTATATATACGAAAATAATATCGTATGGATAATCCTTCAACTAAACAAGTTCCTAGGAAAGATTGGAGGGTAACACCAGTCCCACTTAAAACTCATTGTACTGTCTTTTCATATATACAATCATTTACAAGCTTTGTCATGATTTTTTTTTACAAGTGATCTATAATATCTTGGTTTTATACCTGATTTACTAACATCTGATGAGACTACCAATACTTAGATTTGTCAAGATTGGTCTTCATCGATGTTCACTCTCCACCTCAAATTATCCGTGTGATCGGGTGTCCAGAGTGTCCCAATTTTGCCTTCCTTCAAGGCAACAAAAAAATCTCCCCACTTAGCAGTTCAACATATGTAACTAGGCAAACATGCATAATTTCTTTTTCTTCATCTCCATCGACCACCATGATGACCTTTAGATGCCTCTTAATCAAGCAGTCTCTCTCAACGAGCAATCTCTCTCAATAATTCACCACT